TATAGAAAAACTGGGGTGTAGGCCAGAGATGCAGATGGGTAAGTGGCGCACCAGATACAGAGTGAGGAGGAGAACAGACTGAAATACACTGCTGAGGGATGGTACAGGAGAGGTCTGCTGAGCCACATGGGTCACATGGCCAGAGACTCAGAGACTCAGGCTTTCCACAGTGGTAGTGCTGAGACTTAACCTCTAGGCCACAAGGGAAGTTTTTCTAAAAGATTTATTTATTTATGCATACGAGATCTGGGGTACAGGCCAGAGGTGCAGGGTGTGAGAGGATTCACCAGAGACAGAGTGGGGAATAGAACAGGCCAACTGATTGAAACACACTGTTGAGGGGAGCAGCAGAATAGAACTTGTGCTACAGTGCAGCGGAGAGCTTCATAGTGCTGTGCTTTAACCCCTTGGGCCACCAGGGAGGTCCCCCAAACTTCAGTTATTAATAATGATGTGGAGTAGCAATTGTATAAAGTATAAGCTGAGTTTATGTGGAACAATTTTCATGTTAGAGTAATATAAAATAACATTGACTATGGGCTAAGTGTATTCTAATCACAAAGTTACAAAAAGTTATGAAAAACTAAACAACAACAAAAAATAGTTATTTCTGAGCTGAACTCAGAAATAATGGTTTTATACAGCGTAGTAGTGCCATCTTTCCAGCTTGTCTCTATGTTATCAAAGTGAATATAGAAAACATTAGGTGATTCTAGGTCAGCATTTGCAGAGGTAAGGGAAGAATCATTGTTTCCTTCAATTTAGGCCTCTGGAGAGTCCTTCTTCAGGAAATAGTGAAAAAATCAATGCCAGATGGCTTTCAAGGAGATGCTGCTAATGATTCTGCTGTTGTCAAATCTCCTGTGGAAAAAAATGCCTCACAGTAAATCAATATGGCAACACAGCACTGAGACATGGTATCTCTGCACCGCTGACCTCCATAGTGGAGGAAGTTGCCCTCCTCAGTCTCATCCCCATGGGCCCTAGCAAAGACTGTTTCTATGGCATCAGTGATTTATGACTTGTTCAAACAAGCAGCAGAAATACCCCTCCCACTTTTTGGGTTATTAACCCGGCATTTTAGCCAATAAAGAAAATTCATAAATAGCAGGAGCTACTACTTATTAGAGTTCACTGGCAACAGCTGTGGGCTAATAAAGTGTCAAGTACATTATATAGGTTATCTGATTTTGTCTTTAACTTGTGAACCAGTATTATTCTTTCCATCTGAAGTTTAAATATCTGGCTGTGCAGATATTTATGTAAATATGAGGTCATGCAGTTGTGAATAGTGGGGTTGGAATATAAACAGGAGATTGAACATACACGTTTTCATTTTTAAATGCTGCACTGTATTTTCTGCTCAAAAGTCCAAAATTAAAAAGAATAAACTTCTTAAATGACCCCCTGACCTGAGCAAAACTGCTTTCATTTTTTCATAGTCCCTTTCATTGTTGTTCAAATGAATATTGCTGGGAACTTCTTTTCTGCTTATTGTTGTCCCACCCACTCTATCTTTTAGTTCAGCAAGAATAACCACTTTCCTAAAAGTGACCTTGCACCCAACACCCCTCCCACAGTCATCAGTTATTTATTAGTTCAAGGGTGATTACCTGACCCAAGCTAGACTGAGAAATCTGTTCGTAGACATTATGAAATTCAGGAAGAGAGATTTCAAAAGATAAAGAAGGAAAAAGGTAAGGAGGAAGGAGGGAAAGAAAATAAATCAGTTGCCTTCTGCATGAGCTGTAATGTAAAATCCAGAAGCTCTGTATAGTTATGTTCTTCACTGTGATAGAAGAACAGAGAAAGCCTTTGGCTGTGAGAAAGGGTAGAAGAACCAAAGAGAGAGAGAGATGAGAATGAGGGCCCTCCAATTTCCTTCGAGTGTTTCAGTCTTTCACCTATTCCTGATACCTAGCTGTGATTCTGAAAAATGTCCCAATCTTCCAGAAAGTTTTTTTATTTGCTTAAAATAGGTAAAGTTGGCTCTTATCACCTGCAACCAAAAGAGTCTGAACTAACATTTTATGTATAAAAAAATAATGCTCTAAGTATTGGTGCAAGAGTGGTGAGGGGATTCAGTGAGGGGATTCACCAGAATCAGAGTGGGGAGCAGAATAGGCAGATTGACGAAGTATACTGCTTACGGCGGGGATCAAACACACAGAAACTGCCATTAGCTTTTTTTTTTTTTTGGTCTGTTGAAAATTTTTTTTTTATTACGTAAGTTTATTTTTACATCATTTTGTACATTTTTTTTTCCATCTCGATTGTAATCCCCCGGGTTTCCCATCACCAAATCACCCGTGTGCCATCACCATAATCCTGTGCATTTCTCTCACCCCCCCGCCCCCGTTTTTGATCCCATTCCCCACTCCACCCCCACAAAATGTCTCTGGTATATGGTTGTTCATTATTTTTGTTATTTTCTCGCCTGGTCCATTATACTCCTGCTATGAGTGAAACCATCCGGTATTTTTCTTTCTCTTTCTGGCTTATCTCACTAAACATGATCTTTTCCAAGAGGGCTTCTTTTTATCCAATGCCCTCTTTGGTCATATCTGAGCACCAGCTCTAAACCCTCTCCTATGATCTATATCTATCTGTTAGTCACTTATTTCCTGATAGTAGGCTTTCCAGGCCATGGGATTACTTGGGGGTTGAATAGTTATAAGATGTTCAAAGTAACAGTGCTTTAAAAAAAATCTTGAATAAATTTCCTTTGTTGTCTGAATTAGGTCATATCCATTCTCAAAATAAGAATGGCCTCAATAACTTAGATCTGGGATCCTGAAGAAATAAGTGGGCAAGGGGATGGGCTTATCAGGTCAGCAACAGAGCCCTGCAGCTGCCAGTTTTTCTACCCTTTGACAGTGATACAATGATAATATGAAATATTATTGTTGAGAGGGATTTATAAATTGCCCCATTAGTAATTCAACTGGATTAACTAGTTGAACTGATGATATGTAGAATACTAAGGAGTTTTTGTGCTATAATTTTGTAGATAATCTCCTTCAGTCAAAGAATCCCAGACCATAATTTCAGTCAAAAGAATAATTAACAGGAGATACTCTATTGTGGAATGTAGTTTTGAATCAAGGCTTAACAGGGGACTATGTCAGCGGCAGGGAAGAATAATAACAAATTAA